GCTGTAGCTCAAATGGTAGAGCGCTCGCCTTGAGCTGAAGAGCTGAAGGACAGTGCCCAAGCCCAGAGTTCATGCCCCATGACTGACAAAAAAAAAAAAAAAGAATATCAGCCATCCTTTAATGTGTAGAAATTATAAATACAGAAATGCAAGGCAGTAAAGAAGGGCTAGGAAGGAACCCTAGTTATTGGTTGCCTCTTTTTCATTCATTTATCAATCATCATAAACTTAATTGCCTTATACTATGGATCAGGAATTGTATCAGATTTTGGAGATCAATGGTGTAAGGCAGACACTGTCTCAGACTTCACAATCTAATGGAAGAGACATTGGACAAATTGTACTGTGTTAGTTTTTCTATTACCACATAACAAACAGCAGCAAATCTAGTTGACAAATTAAAAACATGTATATCATGTACAATGTGACATTTTAAAATCTGTACACAGTGTGGAATAGTTCATAAGAAATAAAATATGCATTATCTGCTATTCTTAAATTACTTCTTTTCTTTTTTCTATTTTCTTTTTTTTTTCCGGTCCTGGGGCTTGAACTCTGGGCCTGGGTGCTGTCCCTAAGCTTTTTTTGCTGGAGGTAGCATTGTACCACTTAAACCACAGTGCTCCTTCCAGCTTTTTTATTTAGTTTATTGGAGACAAGAATCTCATGGACTTTCCTGACCAGGCTGCTTTTGAACCACAATGCTCAGATCTCAGTTTCCTGAGTAGCTAGGATTACGGCATGAGCTATCAATACTTGACTTCTTACCATTTATTGTGCTGTAACAGTTAAAATTGACTCTCTTGGTAATTTTCAAGATTACAATAAATTTTTTCTGATGATAGTCACAATGTAAAATAATTCTCTTGAATCTACTTCTCTTAACTAAAAGCTTGTATCTTTTGACCAACATCTCTCCAGCCTTGATCTCAGCCCCTTGTGATTTTGTTTTCATTTCTATTCAATTCTTTTTCAGAATTTCTTGGGTGCTTCTGAAAATCATCTTGCTCATGCTATTAATTAACTTCTTTATTTTCTTTAAACATATTGTGTACAAGTTGTTATGTCGAAAACGAACTTTACAACTTTGGTGGGGGGGTGGACGGGGATGGGACGTGAAGGGTAAATAAAGGAGGAGGCTGCAATGCTTGATAAGAAATGTACTCATTATCTTGCCCATGTAATTGTAACCCCTCTGTACAGTATGTTCACAAAAAATAAAAATAAATAAATAAATAAAAAACCAGAAAGGCTTTAAGGAAACTAGAAATGTTAATGAGAGATTATGGCTTCATAATTTAGTTTTGCCTTCTTTCATTATCTAAAATTTTCACAATTTAAAACTTTTTTTTTTTTTTTTGTCAGTCATGGGGCTTCAACTCTGGGGCTGGGCGCTGTCTCTCAGTTCTTCAGCTCAAGGCGAGCGCTCTACCACTTGAGCCACAGTGCCACTTCTGGTTTTCTGGTGGTTAATTGGAGATAAGAGTCTCACAAACTTTCCTGCCTGGGCTGGCTTTGAACCTCGATCCTCAGGTATCAGCCTCCTGAGTAGCTAGGATTACAGGCATGAACCACTAGTGCCCAGCTTTGAAAAAAATTTTTTAAAAACATTAATTTTATGTTTTATCCAATAACTGCGCACTTTAACATGCTGAAGCAGAGGGAGCTCCAGTAGATCTTATCCAACTTAGAAACGAGAAATACTCATCTAGATACCTACTTGATCTCAGATTGTCCACAGGGCTTCTTCTTGGAGAGGCTGAGCAGATCTTTACCATATTTCTCTTCAATCGATGCCCTGGGAAAACAGAAAAGAGGGTTACAGGTCATTTTTGGAACTAACTCTAAAAGCCATCTCTAGATCTTTTCCTCCCAAATAGCTGGGTTTGCAAGCATAAGCCACGGGCTATATTAACAATTTCTTAAATTATTACCAGCCTTTAAAGAAACATTAAAAAATAGAGAAGAAGAAATAGAATAGAAGCCAAGTATGGTGGTACATGTCTGTAATTCTTTCATTTGGGATACTGAAGCAGTACAATCATGAATTCAGGGTCAGCATGGTCTATACAATAAGACTCTCAAACTCACACAAATAACTTTGGGAATATCCACATTGAGAAACTGTTGTTTATTTATTTATTTACTTATTTTTCCATGCTGGGAACTAAACCCAGGGCCTTATACATATTAGGCATGTACTCTATCATTAAGCTACATCTCCAGCTGAGCAATTTTATCTAAGAGAGAGAGAGAGAAAGAGAGAGACTCTCTTTGAATTTACATTTCCCTGATTTCTAGTGTGGTTGTACACCATGTATATGTTTACTGAACTTTTTATTTCATCTTCTATGTTGTCATCCTGTTTCACCTGAATATTTGACCCTTTTCCTATTATTTGGTAGAAGTTCTTCATATACTATGAATATGGTACTTATTCTTACATTAAAAAGTTTCTCCATTTCTTTTTTTTAGGTTTTTTTTTAAAATAACCTTTATTTAAGATGTGCATTGCAGAAAACATATATAAGCAAAGAGCAAAGTATTACTGCCACAAGCAGTTCAATGGGGCATGACTGCCTAGATCCTTCATATAAACACACCAATCCCTTTTAGGCAACTGAGATTGTATGGTATGTGTCATGCTTTTCCAAAAGTTGTGAATTCACCAATTCAAAAATCCAAAAGCTGCACGAAAATTTTGATAACTAAGACTAAACTATATCATATAACCTCTCCATTTCTTTATAAAATTTATTTTATTTATTTGCTTGTTTATTTTATTATACTAGAAATTGAACTATGGGCCTTATACTTTCTAGGCAAGTGATCTACCATGTGAGCATACTCCAGTCCTCTAAATAACTTTATGTATTATATTAAAATAATATGGGCCAGGTGCTAGTGTCTCATGCTTGTAATCCTAGCTACTCAGGAGGCTGAGATTTGAGGATCAGGGTTCAAAGCCAACCAGAGCAGGAAAGTCTGTGAAACTCTTTTATTTTTTGGGGGGGGTCCAGTCGTGGGGCCTGAAATCTGGGCCTGGGCGCTGTCCCTCAGCTCTTCAGCTCAAGGCCAGGGCTCTACCACCTGAGCCACAGCACCACTTCCGGCTTTTTTCTTTTTGCTTATGTGGTGCTGAGGAATCAAACCCAGGGCCTCATGCATGCAAGGCAAGCGCTCTACCACTGAGCCACCTTCCCAGCCCAGAGCTACCTTCCCAGCCCCTGTGAAACTCTTATCTCCAATTAGCCACCAAAAAATCAGAAGTGGTGCTGTGGCTCAGTGTGGTAGAGTGCTAGCTTTGAGTGAAAGAGCTCATGAACAGCCCCCATTCCCCAAGTTTAACTCCATGACTGACCAAAAAAAGCTTATTTTTTACTTTTTTAATTAAGTAAAAAGCAAAGCACAGAGGATATAGTAATAATTTCACTAAAAATAATTTGTTTTGAGACCTGGTAATGATTATAATGAATATACCTTTATATAAATACACAGGTTGGACAGATTGATACAACAAATACTTTTGAGGGATTTTTTTTTTTTGGGGGGGAGGGCAGTCATGGGGCTTGAATTCTGGGCCTGGGTGCTGTTCCTAAACTCTTCAGCTCAAGGAGAGCACTCTATCACTTAAGCCACAGTGCCACTTCTGGTTTTCTGGTGGTTAATTGTAGATAAGGATCTCACAAACTTTCCTACCCAGGGTTGACTTTGAACCATGATCCTCAGATCTCAGCCTCCTGAGTAACTAGGATTGCAGATGTTAGCCACTGACCCCCAGCCACAACAAATAATTTTTCTGTGTGTGCCCATCCTGGGGCTTGAATTTGGAACTGGGTTCTGTCCCTGAGCTTTTTGGCTCAAGCCCATAACTCTACTACTTTAACCACATCTCCACCTCTGGCTTTTGGGTGGTTAACTAGAGATAAAAATTTCTTTCCTGCCTAAGCTGGCTCTGAGCTGTAATCCTCAGATCTCAGCCTCCAGAGTAACTTAGATTACAGGTGTGCACTGCCAGCACCTAATCACAACAAATGATTTTTAAACATGAAACAATACTGTACTGCTTTTTAAAACTTGAGTATGAAAACTGATCTTTAGTTTCTTGGGAGAAGAGGAAAATGAAGTAAAGCTGAAGGAATTGCTAAATTTAATTGTTTCTTTGCCACAGGCAAAAAAATGTTCACAAATCATACTTGTAAAATTAAAAGAAAAAGTTTATGAAAATGATCAAGAGAAGCCAGATGTCGGTGGCTCATGCCTGTAATCCTAGCTACTCAGGGGGCTGAGATCTGAGGACCATGGCTCAAAGCCAGCCTGGGCAAGAAAACCATGAGATTCTTACCTCCAATAAACCACTAGAAAACCTGAAGTGGCACTGTGGCTTAAGTGGTAGAGCCCTAACCTTGAGCTGAAGAGCTGAGGGACACCGCCCAGGCCCAGAACTCAAGACCCACAACAGACAAAAAAAAGAAAAAAGAAAAAGAAAAGAATCAAGAGGATTGAGATGTTAAAATATTTCTTCTTTCCTTGCTTTCCTTCTTTTGTGGCTGAGGTGCATTTTCTTGGCTGCTGGCCCTCCTATTCTCTAGCAGGCCTATCTGTTTGCTCTGAAACTAGGTCAGTGAGTGTTCCTTCTTATCCTTCTGGCTTCACATGGTGCTCTGCCTCACAGTTGTACCGAGACCCTGTTTCTTCTCATGCTTCTGCTCTTGGACTCCTTGTGAAGTTTTTCCCAGGTCCTGATCTTTCTCTAATTATAGAAACAAATGCATTTGAATAACAAAAAACTATTTCTATCTTTCTGAATTCCTACTGATTGAATTTATAGTCTAAATTATGATAGTATGCAATGAATAATAATTTTATTGTGTGTTAATACTGGGGCTTGAACTCATGGCCTTGACCTCTTGCTGGTTTTTTTTTTCTCACAGCTGGAGCTCTTCCACTTGAGCCACATCTATAGTTCAGGCCTTTTGTTGATGAAGATAAGAGTCTCTCAGATTTGTCTACCCTTCTCTGCCTGGGATGGCTTCAAACCACAATCCTCAACCTCCTGAGTAGCTAGAATTACAGATGTGAGCCACTAGCACTAGGCTAACATTAACCAGTAAGTTAATGTTTAATTAATTAATGTTTAAAGGGAAATTACTGTACACTAATTTACATTAATGTTTAAAATGTTAACATAATTATTTTTTTTTGTCAGTCGTAGGGCCTGGGCACTGTCCCTCAGCTCTTCAGCTCAAAGCAAGCACTCTACCACTTGAGCCACAGTACCACTTCCAGCTTTTTCTGCTTATGTGGTGCTGAGAAATCAAACCCAGGGCCTTATGCATGCGAGGCAAGCACTCTACCACTGAGCCACCCTCCCAGCCCATAATTTAATGTTTAAATTAACTTACAGGCAAAAAAGTTTTACATGCAGAATTGTGTTAAGGCCATTTATACTTTTTTAAATATATGCTGTATGTATGTCCTATCCTTTTGGAATTATGCCCACTAAGAGTGCTAGAGAATCTTTTGTGGTTTCCAGAAAAAAAGACGTTATCTAACATTCTAACATTAAGGAAACCTCAGGCAGAATCTGTTCCCCATGGGAAACCCTAGAATGTGGTAAAGATGAATTTCCAGGAAGTGCCATGGCCTGCTCTTTGGAGAAAAGAAGGAGCTTTACTGAAGTGAAACTGCAGTCTCATCTGCTGGAAGTCAGAGGACCCACATGCAATCAAAAGAGGATGCTCTCTGGCACAATTGGGGAGGACCAGGTCCCAGGGCCTGAATGCAAGAGAGGAGTCAGCAGGACCTCAAACAAATCACCACTGACTAGGGAGGCCTTTCCCTGTCTTCCCTCCATCCCAGTGCACCTTCTTATCTGCTTATCCATTTATGTCTTAAATATAGATGATGCATCCAGCATCCTCCTAGAAGCTAAGACCACAGAAATGACAGAAATATAAGAATACCTAGCAGAGTTCACAGCCTTGTGGAAAAGAAAGATGCCAACCAATACTATAGTTTACAACCAAGTAACCATGCCCATATGCAAATGTACAGAACAAGAGATCCTATTCCTTTTTTTGTTTCTAACTGCTAATTTATTTTTTAATTTTTTAATTGTAAAAGTTAACACGGTAATCAGAAATGTTGATGGGTTTCACCCATAAAGCATATGCCATGCTTTAATCAATCAATTCCATCCTCCCTATTGCCCTTACCTGCCTTTCTCTTTCCCCTTCCCACCTCCACCCTATGTGCCTTTCTCCTTCCCTTTGTAGTCCTTCTATATTCAATTCATCTTTTTGTTGTTAGTTTTCCTTTTTCCTTAAGACAGAATCTCAATACATAACCCAGATTGGCCTTGAACAAGTTATCTTCCTATCTCAGCTTCCAGAATACTCGTATTGCAAGAGTGTGGTATTATGCTCAGATTTTATTATTTTTCCTTCTATTTTTTTGTTTTTTGTTTGTTTTTACATGTGATAGGAAACACACAATGTTTGTCTTTCTTCTGTGCGTGTGTATGCCAGTACTATGACTTGAACTCAGAGCTGTGAGTTCTTACTTAATTTTTCTGCTCAAGACTGACACTTTATCACTTTAACATTTCTGGCTTTTTGTTGGTTAACTGGAGATAGAAGTCTCTTGCCTTTGTCAGCCAGAGCTAGCTTCAAAACTCCTCTATCCAGGCTCAGTACCACATACACAGAAAAAGCTGGAAGTGGTACTGTGGCTCAAGTAGTAGAGAGTATAGCCTTGAGCTGAAGAGCTCAGGGACAGCGCCCAAGCCCAGAGTTGAAGTCCCTTGACCAAAACAAACAAACAAACAAAACACCTCCTCTATCCCTTCATCTTTAGGTCTCAGCCTCCTAATTAGCTCTGATTGCATGCATGAGCTACTAGCACCTGGCCATAATATTGGCCTTTCTGCGTCTGAGTTATTTCATATAACACGATGATTTACAGTCCCATCCACTTTTCTGTAAACAATGCTACACTTCCTCTTAAAACTACTTAGCTGGCTACATTCTTTACAAAGCTCCCCTTGAAAATCCCAGCTCTCTTTGCCCTGTCTGAACTTTCTCCAGTCTGACTTCCCAGACTAAGAATGATGCATGTGCTGACTCCGCTCCATGAACTCATGGCCAATATCATCAAGCCTTCGTTAGCAGGCTTAAAGCAGCCGGAGATCACCCACAACCTTAAGCTCTAGCAGCCCCCAAGTTAGAGTGGTACGGACAGTGAAAGCCTTTTGCCATATACCTGACACTTGGGTAGGTGGCTTATTTTTACTGAATACGCTAGTTATTGCATCACAACTGAACCATGAATTCCTTGGGAAGATCCTGCTGTTAGCTCAAAGGGGATCTTACAGAACATCCAGTACAGAGTCGTCAAGTTACCAAAGAGGAAACAAACACCTTGATGAATCTCACTGCTGATAGCGGGGGACCAGGGTCAGAAGTCAGAGGCTTATGACTCATCCCCAAACTGTTTTATTGTGAGCTCGCCTCCCAGTTATTCTGTTGGGAAAGTATTGTGGGTTGCCACCCCACTAAAAAAATAAACATACTAAAGGCCCAACCACAGTCCTGCAGAGGATGGCTTTCTTTGGAACAGAGTCAATACAGATGTAATTAACTGAAAGGAGGGCACTCTGAAGTAGTTCATTTCTTCATCCAACATGACAAGTGTCCTTATAAGACAATGTCACTACACCATGTGAGGGTAAATGGGGGCCTTGGGAATGACAGCGCTGCAAGCCAGGGCATACCAAGGCCTGCTGGTGACACAAGAAGCTAGCAGGGCACAGACCACATCATCCTCCACAGCCTCGTGGAAGGCCCAGTCCTGCCTCCCCTTACTCACAGCTCCATACCCTCCTGCTCTCAGAATCAGCCCCTGCCTCCCACTTGCCACATGGACCATGCTCACTGCTCACCATAGAGTGACCACTGTCACTTTCCACAGGAATCCAGATACCCTCCCCCACCCCACCTCCACACACACCTGTCAAAACCAGCAAATGGCTTCCAGCCTGGCCCGCCATCTTCAGAGGGGCCTATACATCATACCTTTCTTTTAAAAAGTCTTCAAACTCTTTGCAGGTTTTTCGGCCATTGTTCAGATGCTGGATGATGCTGTCATAGCCCACGGTGCTGAGGATGTCAGAGCTCTGGGAGGAAGAACAACATGGAGTCAGACCACAGGCGGCCCCGGGGGATAGAGCACAGACAGGGATAGGTGGGGGGAGAAGTCTGCATTGCCACATCACTACATCTCTTTACCTCCAAGACATGAGACCAAGCCTGAACAGTGAGCATTCTCACCATTGGAGGAATATATTCAACATGAGGAACCTAGAGGGCCACAGAACAGGAATGAACATGGAGGAGGGAGAGGTGGGCTTCAGTTCCTTGCTAGGCTTCTACTTACACCTAAGTTGGGCCAAAAGAGAAGAAAGAGCCTGGTGCCCACTGGGACCTCTGCCATGCCATCATCACACTGCTGTGTGGAAACTGGATCAATCCACTGGCCAATTTAACCAGGGACTCTGCAAGTATTGTTCTTAAACTTGCCACTAAGCTTGGCCCTGACACTTTACCCCACAGCCAGTTAACCCACATGAGAGTCCAGGTATGTCTGCCCTGAGAGACACTTAAATCACTCCCCACTCCCTCAGCCCTTTTTTACTCCAGTTATTTTTCATTTAGGGTCTTCCATTTTTGCCCTTGGACACAATTCTCTTACATGACCTCCATTGTAGCTGGGATCACATGTGAGACCATGCCTGGCTTGCTTTGTTAAAACTGGTTTCTCACTTTTCTTTCCCTCAGTGTAGCCTTAAACCACAGACCTCCAGGTTTGTATCTCCTGAAGAGCTGGGATTACAGACATGAGCCACCATGCTAAGCCACTCTAAATTAGAAGTTTGTTCATATTTCATTCTACTGTGCTCTCCCCAGATTGAGAACATTAGCCAAATACCCCTGCTCCATAGCTCTAGACACAGAACATTTAAAAATCAAGGTTAATTCAGCTCCTCGAAGCAACAAATCAGCAACTTGTAAAGAATATCAAAGTATCCTCTAATGAGATTAGCTTTCTGCTTTCTACCCCATAGATACAATAGGTTGCCTGAGTCAGACTCCAGTCTCTATAGACTGAATCTAGATGTGTTCTGGAACTTTAAGCTCACCCAGGCAGCCCCGTCAAGTAGGACTTCACCAGGAGGCTCTTCTCCTGACCAGTTTGCAGAGCCAGGAGCTAAGAATAAACACTGGATGAACTTGAAGTCAGTCATTCACTCCCCTGTATACTGTAGCAACAAACCTTGCAATGACTTGCACTGATGATTTACCCAGAGCTCTAGATAGGCACATTCTAGGTAAATATCTAAATATATATATATATAAATTTAGATAGATAGATAATAAATCTCAACCTTAGACTAAAAGATCTTTTCTGTGTTTTTTTATTTTGTTTTTGGGGGTTTTTTGGCAGTCATGGGGCTTGAACTCTGGGCCTGGGCGCTGTCCCTCTGCAGTTCAGCTCAAGATGAGCGCTCTACAACTTGAGCCACAGTGCCACTTCTGGTTTTCTAGTGGTTTATTGGAGATAAGAGTCTCACGGACTTTCCTGCCTGGGCTGGCTTTGAACTGTGATCATCAGATCTCAGGCTCCTGAGTAGCTAGGATTACAGGTGTGACCCACCGGTGCCCAGCTTTGTGTTTTTGTTTTTGTTTTTGCCCATCCTGAGACACCCAGGGCCTGGGTGTTATCCCTGAATCTCTTTGTGCACAAGCCTAGCACTCTACCACTTGATCCACAGGGACACTTGTGGCTTTTCTGAGTAGTTTATTGGAGATAAGAATCTCACAAGGACTTTTTAGCCCAGGCTGGCTTTGAATTGTGATCCTCAGATCTTAGCCTCCTGAGTAGCTAGGATTACAGGTGTGAGCTACTAGCACCCGATAAAAGATCTTGACAAGGAGAAAAAGCTCTTAAGTGAGGGGCTTTTCTGCCCTAAGAAAACATCCAAAAGAAAGCACCTTGCAGATTTACAACCTATATGTCACTTATGTTGAAATAAGGAAGTTATTCTCTGGGAATCCCAAACTTCTCAGCTTTAGAACTACAAGATACAATTAAAGGGGGACATCACAGCAAACAATGAACCTGGAAGGTGGTAGAAATTGAAGAGCACACACAGCGATAAGGGCCCACAGACCAACCACTAACTTGAACCTTGTAATTATGAGTCAGACACAGGCCTTAGCTTGCTTCTCTTGTGTCCACATTTGTGCCCACATCTCAACTTATTAGATGTGCTGTTCCCTGCTTTTTTGGCTTTGCCAAACAAAACTTCTGTAAATTTCTGACTAGACTGGTCCAAAAGTCTTCTGTGACAATGTCACAAATTTGGTCATCATCCGTGCCATGAACATGGTATGCTATGTCACAAACTTGGAGCCTCAGGTTAAGGACCCTGCCCTCTAAGACCCACCCTGGGATTTTAGACATACGATGGTGACTCCATTAGAATAGTTATGATGGAGATACAAATACAGATGATAGAGATAGAGATGATAAAGATAGAAATAGAGATGAAGGGTTAGGAATGTGGCTTAGTGGTAGAGTGTTTACATAGCATGCATGAAGCCTTGGGTTCAATTCCTCAGTACCACATAAACAGAAAAATAGCAGTGCTGTGGCTCAGGTGGTAGAGTGCTACCCTAGAGCAGAAAAAGCTCAGGGACAGTGCCGAGGCCCTGAGTTCAAGCCCAGAACTGTAAGAAGGAGGAGGAGGAGGAGGAGGAGGAG